CTTGCCTTGCCTTGCCTTGCCTTGCAAAAAAATAAAAAATAAAAACAAGAAAGAATTTAAAATAAAAAGTTTTCAAATGATTAAATATTGTACCAAATTTTATTATCAACAGACATAAAACCTGCAAACATTTAACAGCAATCGTTTCTCTTCTTTAGCTCGTTGCAGGATATCATCGCATTGTCTGATTTTACGCAACCATAGAAAAAAAATCCCAACATTTCCTTTATTTCTCCTTCAAACAAAAAGAAAAGAGGAAAATGTAACCATTTCTTTTCTTTTTTTTTTTTTACCCAAAAAAGCGCAGACATTTACAGACAAACAGAAATTCATTAATTCAGTGAAAGTTTCTAAAATGTTGCTTAAGATTTACATAAATTTTATATTCGATTACCTGGGAAAACACTAACTTTTCCATTTCTTTCTTTATCAGGAGTTGGCTTAATAAATTCAGTGGCACATTAAATAAGCGATTTGATCTAATTTCATCCTGAAAAAGAAAACGAGAAGCTTGAAATCGAACGTGTAGAAGTGCATGCATAGCGGTGAATCCACAACACGACTAAAAACCATCTAAAAAATCCAGGCAAACAGGCACAAATAGAAAAAAAATAAAATAGTAGACGACATTTAAAGATTTCTGGAACCTAAAAAAAAAAATATTTGGTCCAAAACTTTAAAATGTGGAACAAAAGGTATAAAATCTACGGATGGACTTCCAGGCTAGTTGTAGTTTTCAGGGAGCCTCGATCTCACTCCTCCTCGGAGGATTTCTCTGTGTTTTCTGGTTTGTCTTCAGTCTGATCACCTTCTGCACAGAAAAAAACCCAAAACCTGTCAGTTAGTTTATCAACCATCAGCAGAACCGGTGATGAACGGTGTGAAAACCGACCTGCTGGGTCTTTGGTGGGTCCAGGTGACTCCTTGGCTTCACCATCCGACCTCTGCAGAGCGATTCTCACCAATCTGGTCACTTCTGCATATTTAGCTTCTTGAACTGCATCCTTTTCGTCTGAAATGCTGCTCGGCACGTCTGAAACAAAACATCAGGTCAAACAGGAAGATCACCGTAAATCCTCTAATATAGGCCGGGGCCTTTATTTCACTCAGGTGCATCTTGGTCCAGGCCATTATTGGAAGGAGGCCAGAATTAGAAGCAGGCCTCTATTTCCATTTGATCAACTCAGACGACCAGAGGAATGAATAAAAACCAGATTGTTTCTCTTTGAACCGATAAAATACTAGGTTCATTTATTATAAAAAGTACAGTTAACGATATATAGAACATTATTCAAACATCTTCCCGCAGCTGCCATTTTTCTGCACGGCAAT